AGAGGTCTGCCGCGCCATGTGGTCACCTCCGGGGCAGGCGGGAATCGAACTCATGCGGAAGTGGCTTCAGATTCTCAGTGCAGTGCTTTAACCCGCTGCGCCACCAGGGAGGGCCGGGTGCCCGCCTTTTGAACTGGCATCCATGGGAGCTCCAACCAGAATGGGAGGTTTAGAATCCTATATTTGCATAACTGCCAAAGGTGGGGGTTGTCAGGGGGGCTGTGGGGGGCGGGGAGGATTGCGCCAGTTGGACTCAGCCAGACTGGACCTGCATTGAGGTCAGGACAGCTCCTGGGCTGGAGGGCTCCCTGGGGCCATGGCTGAAGCTGGTCTCTACGGGGCCAGGGCCAAACAGCACCTCACAGCCCTCAGCAGGGTTGGGTTTAATAATTTAGGGGCCCAGCTTCAAGAAAAGGGAAGGAAAGCCAAGAAAGAGAGCTGAGTTCATGAATTCTGATTAAATCTGTTGCCATTTCCTGGTGTTCCACAGAGAACCCCAGAGGTCCAGGCTGCCAGAGCGAGTGTGAGAACCATAGCTGTTTCCAAAAGAGTAAGCTAATTCCTAACTTTCGACCCTTGGCTGGGACCTCAGGGAAAATTCCCCAAGATTGGCAGTGCTCCAGATCTTGGAAAACGGGGAAGAGGCGCTATGTAACCTGAGGCTGGACACTATCAAGGCCAAACCCTAGTGACATCCCCTGGGCATGGGCTGGAGGACAATTTTTCGTTGTTTATAAGTGATTGTTGATGTGGGTTACTTTGGCTCAATACTGTCAACCCAGGTTGGCAAAGAATGGTCAAGGGAACAAATCCTCACTGTAGGCCTCTCCATTCTCCTATTACTCTGGGTGCTGGTGTCCTGGGGGATGCTGGAGTCAAGTGTAAATCCAGGAGAAAAGGGGTGTGGAATGGAGATTGATTGTTCCAGGGATTAGAGGAAGGACTCTTGGGCACAGATGGAAGTGTAATTTGTGGATTTAGAAAGCATAATCCTGGGCCTCCCTGGTGGCGCAGCACTGTGAAGCTATCGGCAGCCAGGGAGCTGACCCACATGGCGTGGCAGACCTCTCCTGTCCCTCCTGCTGCTCCCCTCACCAGTGTGTTTCAATCGAGCTGCCTGTTCTGTTTCCCACTCTGTCGCTGGTGAATCCTTTCACTGCCCCCACCACCTCTGGCTGTACCCCAGTTCTTGTATGCATAAATAAGTCTTTAAAAAAAAAGATAAAGAAAGCATAATCCTGACATATACCACGCACCCACCCCCCACCCCCCAACACACACTCACAGCACAGAGGTGGTCCAGGCCTGATTTTTATCTGGGCACTCACCGCCTTGGCTGTACTCTGCAACCCTCCAAAAGCAGGCTGTCTCCATAGCGCAACCTCTTTTAGGCATTCACTTGTTCACCATTCTTACCAGATTTACCTGGAATGTTCCTTCAGGGATGACTTGTGTAACAAATCATTTCCATTGGGTCCATTTTCTCAGGAAGTTTATTTTGGATTTCACAGACAAAACTTCCCCCAAAATTTGGGGATTGACAAAATTTGTGTATATATATACTTAATATACTTGCTAAGTAGCAACACCAAAAATTGAACAAGATTACTATTAATTGACTCTGTTTTGGGGTCTCCCTGGTGACAAAAGACTCAGCACTATGAAGTTATCCACAGCCACGGTGGCATGAGTTCCATCCCCAGCCAGGAAGCTGACCCACATGGCCCAGCAGACCTCTCCTGACCCGCCCGCTGCTCCCCTCAGCAGTGCACTTTGTAGATCTGCCTGTTCTGCTCCCCACTCTGTGTCTGGCAAACTCCTTGCGCCTCTGGCCTGCACCCCAGCTCTTGTATGCATAAACAAATAAATCTTTAAAAAAAATAAATTGACATTGTTTCATAAAATTATGCAAGCACCAAAAAAAATAGGAAGGATGTAATTTCAGAATAAAGAATCATTCTTTTTAAATCCCTATTGAGTTGCTTAATAACAAATGGTCAAAGTTAATAAAACTGGAGAGATAAATATTTCCTTTAAGTAAAAATTAAATGTGGCTGCCCCCAAATAACTAAAATAACACGAAGTCCAATAATAATGCTCTCAAATATCAGCACAACATGTATTCAGCCTTCAGTCTTTTTGTGTTTATTCATGTTTATTTTTTCTAAAAGCATATCACAGTCATCACCATTTGCCTATTATTCTGATCTTACCTTAACAACCATCACCTATTAAGCATTTCATAGCAAAATGATTATATTTATTTTTTGTGTAGGAGAAGTAGGGTATAGGCCAGGGGTGTGGGGTAGGGAGTGAGAAGATTCACCAGAGACAGAGTGGGGAGCAGGACAGGTGTACCCTCTGAAGTACACTGCGGAGGGGAGCAGCGGGTGAGACAGGAGAGGTCTGCCAGGCCTTGGGGGTCAGGGAGCCCAACTCAGGATTAAACTCAGGCCATAGTAGTGATAACATTGAGACTTACCCCTTAGGCCACCAAGGAGGGCCCTCACAATGATTTTAAACAGCATTTTGATTATTTGGGGAAATTTCCATCGCAACTCAATGAAAAATACCGTCCATTTACATGTCTTACCCAGTAGGTCCTCTCCAGACCTCTTGCACGATTTCACCATTTTCTACCAAGTATATGTGACTCATAGGTTCTCTGAACTTCAATATTAAGTTGTTATTCATGTTGTTTTCCCAAATTTCATAAGTCCCTTTACATTCGTCATAATAATTTTCATTTTTCAAGTTGAAATCTGATCCAATGTTGAAAAATAACTGCTCTTTTTCCATCTTTCTCTCCAGGAGCCTTTAATTTTTCCAAATAACTTTCTTTTTTCAGATTCTTCCTTCCATATTTCCTCTTCTTTTTAGAAGGTGGTTAATTTGCCTTTAAGAAAGTTTCTGTTCATTGTCTAATAGATTTCAGAATCATAAGCTTTTTATTTTATTTTTTAAAGATTTATTTATTTATACATACAGAAATGGGGTACAGGCCAGAGGTGATGGGGATAAAAGGATTCACCAGAGACAAGAGTGGGGGAGCAGAACAGGCAGATTGACTGAAACACACTGCTGAAGGGAGCAGTGGGCGGGTCAAGAGAGGTCTGCTGTACCATGTGGGTCACCTCCCTGGCCTGGGATCCAATTCATGCTGCAGTGGCTGTGATAGCTTCATGGTGCTTTTCTTTAAGCCATTGTGCCACCAGGGAGGGCCCAAATTAGCTTTTTAAAAGAATACTTTTGCCAAGGCCTCTTTTCAAAATTTCTTCATTTGGACTCAAAGTAAAAAAGCTACTTTTTATTTGTTTTTCAATAATTAAATTTTTTTTCTTACATCACTGTAGTCCCCATAGTTCTCCTGCCACTATATCACCCATGAACCATCACCACATTCCCTTGTGTTCATAAAACAATTACCTTTTATTTGTTATTTATTTTAAAAATATTTTTTATTTATTTATGCATACAAGAACTGGGGTGTAGGCGGGTGGTTGAGAGGGTTCACCAGAGACAGAGTGAGGAACAGATAGACTGAAATACACTGCTGAGGGGAGCAGTGGGTGAAACAGGAGAGGTCTGCAGGGCCCCCATATCTTGACTTTCATACAATTTACAGACAACTTTTACATAATTAACTGGCTCCTCCGCACTGCTTCACCACCTTCTTGATATCAAGGTATCTGGCGGCCTTCTCCAGGCTGACGGTCAGATGCACAACAGACACTTTGGCTCCAGGCCTGTGCGGGTCAGCTCTCTGTTCAGCCCAGCGCCTTGACCGCTCCAGTAGAATCGGGTCAATGTCCCAGGCAGCCCCTCGGCCAGCACCGCAGCTGCCCAGAGTGGCTGTCCATGGTCTTCTGGGGGCAGTGATGGCACACCATGGTCACGAGTTCCTCCATGATGCCACCACTGTCCTCGGCGACCTTAGCCAAGCAGTGTGGTGCAGAAGGCATCGCCGATCTGGAGGGGGAGGTCCTACTTCTCATCGGTCACAAACACGTGGCATCAGCAGAAGGGGCAGAGATCACGAGCCTTAGCCCCCCTTTAAGGGAGCCCTGACGTTCTGCAGGGTAGTGAAGACACCAGTGGCCCCACAATTTATTCGGCACCACAACCACCTCATTTGACGCTGGGAGATCTCGCTCCTGGGTGGAATCACACTGGGACACGCGTAGCTGAGGTCAGTGAGGGGTCACTGATGGCAACAGCGTCCACTATGCCAGAGTTAAAAGCCCCGGTGACCAGGTGCCCATCGGCCCCGTCAGTCCCCCTTCGCAGCGGTGTCCCAGGGCCACGCTGTGGGCGAGAGTCCCTGTGGGCAACCGGGAGGAGCAAAGAACATCATAGTTTTGTTTTTGTTTTAAAGATTTATTTATTTATGCATACAAAATTGGGGTACAAGCCAGAGGTGCAGGGGCAGTGAGAGGATTCAGTCAGAGACAAAGTGGGGAGCAGAATAGGCCGACTGACAAAGTACACTGCTGAGGGGAGCAGAGGGCAGGTCAGGAGAGGTCTGCCGCGCCATGTGGGTCAGCTCCGGCCGGGGATCGAACTCACGCTGTATCTGCGGCCAGCTTGCAGTGCTGCGTTCTGACCCGCTGCGCCACCAGGGAGGGCCAGCTTTTTTTTTTTTTTTAATAAAGTTTTATTTTACAGTTTTAAGTTTTTATTTGGAAGAAATACAGATGGAGGCCCCTGACATCAGTAGTTCAAGGGAGGATGTTATGTCCAAGGCTGGAATGGAGTCTCCCAGGGGCGCTGATCCTCATCATCCCTCTCGAGCGAGCCCTGACGAATCTGGAAGGAGAAAAGATTTCCACCAGCCAGCTTTTTTTTTTTTTTTCCTTCCCAGCCTCCCTCTAGAGCAGCTTGTGACCATTAACTCCCTCACCCTCCACCCCCAGCTGCCTCCCAGGCACTCATCAGTGGTGGAAAAGGGGGTTTATTCTGTCACTCTAGAGCGCTCCGTCAGATCTCTGGTGCCCGGGGCCATGGCCACAGCCTTGGTGGGCCTCCTCCTTCTCGCGGGGGTCCTGCTCCCCCACTGGGGCGAGTTCCTACAGTATAAACAGCGGTTTAAGGTGAGCCTTCGGTGGCAGTAGAGGGTGGAAGAGGAGGAATCCATCAAGCCAGAAGGCACTGATTGGATTTAGAGAAAAATGGGGGTGGGGACAGGAATCATGGCAAATTGGGAATTTGATCCCAGCCAGGAAGCTATGTATTTCCAAAAGGACTGCAAAGTCCTGTTTCGCCTCCCTGGCTCCTTGGAAGTGAAGGAAACGGTACTTAAGATAAGCCACCCCTGCGCGCCCTGTCCAGCGCCCCCTTCAGGACAGTCTTAGTACGGCAACCCCCGCCTTCTCTGTGGGTACTCTCCTGGAGCTGTTTCTTCTTTCTCTCTCCACTTACGAGTGATGTAGGAGTCTTTGCCTCTGCCCCCCCAAGCAAAGGTCAGACTTTGGGGCCCACAGAGATAATGCGGGTAGGACCTAGGAAAGGCGAGGCAGAGGGACAAGTCCTAACCCTTCACCCTTTCTTTTCCTCTCCGCATCTTAGTGCGCCTGTGGGTGGGAGTGCCCCGATAGAGGGAGCTGGAGTTGACCACCTCCTGGTTTCTCTTCCTGCCTCCCGGGGACCTTGGTAATGCTGGGAACCCCAGCGCACCCACACTTCCCCCGCCCCCCACACACACCCACACACTGTCCTGCAATGCTGGAGACCTGCTGACCCAAGGCTTTCCCCACAGAGTGTAGGGACAGCGTGTTCCCACCGCTCTCAGTGCGTCAGCAACTGTTGCCTCCTGAGCTTGGACTCCAGGGGTTCCTTCTGTGCCCCCAAGACAAGAAAAACCATGCCATGCCTGCCCCAGGTGAGGCTCTGGGGTAGGGAGAGCCCTCCCACCTCTCCAAACCCCCCCCCCCCACCACCCTTACCTCCCACTGGTAAGTAGAATTGGGGGAGTTTATAAAAGACTCACCTACTTTTTCACTTCTGCATATGGGCCATGTTCCCAGTCTCACTCTGGCAAACTCCCCATCTTCCTGCAATACAACTCCAGCCACCTCCTCTGGGAAACCTGGGCTCATACCCTCAGGGCTTGAGTCTCCAGATTAGCCAGGCCTGCTACCAGCTGCCTGCTAGTTGGAGCCCTCTGCCTGCCAGGGCCAGATGGCAGCATATTCATTTGAACCCAGCTTAGCACCTGCACACAATGAGTGCTCAACAAATACACTGTTTAAATGAATATCTCTCTCGCCCACATCACAGAGGCAAGGTAGATGGCAAAAAAACCTTCTCCGTAGCAATCCCGACCTCCCTACCACAACGACCTAACATTTTGAGAGAAGCCCAGCACAGCAGTGACAAGACCACAGCTTTGGATAAGGCCTTGAATGTAAATCTTGCCTTTCCTGCCCTCTGATTTCAAGAAGACAGCTCTCTTGTGCTCTTTGATTCTTAACTTCCCTCAGCTATAAAAAGGGGCTAAATAGGGGACCTCCCTTGTGGCCCAGGGATTAATTCTCAGCACTATCACTGCAAAGGCCCACCATGGAGGCCCATTGTGAGGGCCTGATTTTGATCCCCCGCCAGGGAGCTCATCTACCTGGTGCAGCAGACCTCTCCTATCTCCCCCACTGCTCCCCTCAGCAGTGTATTTCAGTAGATTCACCTGTTCTGCTCCCCACTCTGTCTCTGGTGAACAATCACACTGCCCCACCCCCACCATGGCCTCTGAGTTACGCCCTGGTTCTTCCATACATTAATAAATCTTTTTTTTTTAAAAGAAAACTAAAATAATGATTCTTCACTTAAAAAAAATAAAATAAAAAGGGGGCCCTCCCTAGTGGCACAGCAGGTTAAAGCACAGCACTAAGAAGCTAAAGCCATTTCAGCAAGAATTCGATCCTAGCCCCGGAGGTGACCACATGGTGCGGCAGACCTCTCCTGACCTGCCCGCTGCTCCCCTCAGCTGTGTACTTCCTCAGTTGGCCTGTTCTGCTCCCCACTCTGTCTCTGGTGAATCTTCCAACCATCCCTGAACCTCTGGCCTATACTCCAGTTCTGTAAGCATAAATAAACAAATCTTTTTTTTTTAAAGATACAGGCCAGAGGTGTGGTGGGTGAGAGGATTCACCAGAGACAGAGTGGGGAGCAGAACAGGCAGATGTATTGAAATATATTGCTGAAGGGAGCAGCGGTCAGGAGAGGTCTGCCACACCATATGGGTCAGCTCCCTGGCCAGGAATTGAACTTGTGCTGCAGTGACTGTGGACAGCTTCATAATGCGGTGCTTTAACCTGTTGTGCTACCAGGGAGAGCCCATAAATAAATCTTTTTTTTTTAAAAAAAGAGGGAACTGCCTCAGTGCGAGTGTGACCTACATGGCACAGCAGACCTCTCATCATGCTGCTCCCCTCAGCAGTGTACTTCATCAGTCGGCCTGTTCTGCTCCCCACTGTCTCTGGTGAATCCTCTCACCGCCCCCCTGACCTCTGGCCTGTACCCCAGTTCTGGATGCATAAATAAATACATCTTTAAAAAAAGGGGGGGCCAAACAACTTACCCACCAAGTTGTTGGGAGGGGTCTGTGGTCCAAGTGAAGGCAGAAGACTGTGCTCGGTTGAGGCTGATTGTTCTTAGCTGGTGGAAGTGCTCCGTATAACCTGCTCCTGCTCATCTTCCCTCATCTGGCCCTGAGCCCAAACTTTCCCAGGGAGGACAGGCTTAGCCTCCAAGTCCCTGACTGGGACAGACTGTCAGCTGCCAGTGCCCTGCTGAGGCAGCCAGGCCTTTGCTATGGCCTGCCCTAGACTGAAGTAGCCCCATGGGCTTTTCACTGTGGGCATCTGGGCTACTTGATCTAATCTAACCCTCATATCTAATGTAACCATCTAATGTAACCCTGGGTTACAATTATTATCCCACTTGGAAACCAAAGCAGAGCAGTTCATTAACTTGCCTAAGTTCATGGCCTTATAAATTGGAGGGCTGAGAGATCCCAGGTGTCTCTCATTCCATCTGTTGAGCTCCGGCTCCTGCTCCCCAAGAAGCTTAAATGCTCCTTTTCCCTGCACCTTGGTGACCCACAACTCTCCTACTTGTTCCCCACAGACCAAGGGAGCCATCAACATCCTGTGTCCCTGCCGAGGGGGTTTGACTTGCGTATCCAAGGACGTGAACTGTGCCCGCCGGTGCTACCTCATGTAGAGGATGCAGGCTGCTCACTGCCACTCCTTGCACGCATCCTTAGGGCCAGGGGTCCAGTATCCTCTTCAGGCTCGAAATCAAACTCCTGACACATTAAAGTCACTTTCTGACTCTGGCCTCTGCACTTCTTGGGAGAAGGAACCTGACAGGGATGGTTCCAGTGGGGAGCAGAGGGGGTCCAAAGGGGAGATTGGAGGCATCATAGAGTTTGCCTTGGGGGTTGGCCTTGTTATTGAGGCATGGTGGCCTCAGGAAAGAATTGAAGTAAAGGGGTGTGGGTGAGAGGAGGTAAGGACCAAGTCTTGGGATGGCCTGTGTGGGAGGAGCAGGGATGAGGCGTGGGTTTAGCCAGCATGTGTTAGGGTGCCCGTGGATGAGTATGTGGCAGCAGACTGAGAGGAAGTATCTGCTTCTAGGGGAGTGAAAGGAGATCATTTAGAGAGTGTTTGTGAGCATGTGTGTGAAGTATAAATGCAAAACTGTAACTATCTTGGGAAATGGGCCCAATGCATTGGTGTCTCCTCTGTGTCAGATATTACCAGTTCCATTTTAGGGATAAAGAAACTGAAACTTAAAGAACTACACATCATATCATGAGGCTAACAGTGAAGATTCTTTGTGTAGTGATATGTCAAAAAAAACTATCCCAAACTGTTCTAAATAATGAGAGAATTTATTGGTGTTCAGGACTGGAAGTCCAAAAGTAGGGCATGCCTCAGGTCTGGCTGGATCCAGCAGCTCCATGACCTTCAGGCTGGATTCCTTCCTAGTAGCAATAAAGCTCCAGGTATCGCCTTTATAAAAACAACTAAGATTTTTGAGCATATGTATATTCCAGACACTGGTGCAAAGTGATTTTCTGTCTGTGTTAACTCACCTTATAGCTAACTAGAATTACACTTATTTTACAAATAGGGTACTGAGGATCAAAGTACTCTTCTCAATGGCTCAGAGTATGGCATAGGACTGGGATTTGAACCCAAGCTGTCTTGCTCGAGAGTGCAGGCTCTTAAGCACAGATCCACTCATATGTATGCAATAAGTCAGTTCTCAACAAACATCCTACAGTGATTTTGCTTGGATTAGCTAGGCCTGAAAGTTCACACCTGAATCAATAATTGGAGTAGAATTTGCTGATTGAATTAGCCTGGATTATGTGCAGGGGTACAGGATAGAGTCAGCCTCTCTGGGGAAATTTTTAAAAATCATTTATTTATTTATATTTTACATCATTATTTATTTTCATTTAAAATTTTTTTTATTGTTGAAGTTTTCCAGTTTCTTTCTTTCTTTTTTTTTTTAGATTTATTTATTTATGTATACAGAACTGGGGTACAGGCCAGAGGTGCGGAGGGTGAGAGGACTCACCAGAGACAGAGTGGGAGCAGAACAGACAGATCAATGAAGCACACTGCTGAGGGGAGCAGCAGGTGTAAGGAGAGGTCTGCTGCACCATGTGTGTCACCTCCAGGGCCAGGAATCGAACCGGCACTGAAGTGGCTGCTGCTAGCTTGCAGTGCTGCGCTATAACCCACTGCACCACCACGGAGGGCCTTTTTTTTTTTTTTTTTTTTTACAGTATTTGCTTTCTTTTCTCAGGTATAGTTCCCACAGAATTTCCACCACCAATTCACCTGTGCACCGTCACCACAGTCCCTTGTGCTCTTTCCACCCTCACCCTCCCCTGCAGTATGGCTCTAATTTATAGTTGTCTGTTTATTTTTGTTGTGTTTTTCATTTTTCTTCCCAGATCTCTTTTTTGGTTTCCCTATATATATCCCTATGATAAGTGAAACCATCTGGTATTTTTCTTTTTCCTTCTAGCTTATTTGGGGTGAGGTAGAACCTCAGGGTTCCTACTCTGACCCAGGAGAGTGGGTAGAGACATCAGAGATGAGGCCAGATGTCCTCATCAGGATGTGGCCAGGAAAGTAGTATGAATGCTGTGTTCTCTCTCAGCCCTTCTAGCTCTATCGATGTTGCTATGAGAGACATGAGTTTATTTATTTATTCATTTTTTGATTGCTGACTAGGACTTCATTGTGTATATATCACATCTTTTTTCTTTTTAATATAAACAAGGACTTATCTGTTCAAATATCCAATGACTTTTTCTTTTTTTGAAGATTTATTTATGCACACAGGACTGGAGTATAGGCCAGAGGGACAGGAACAGTGAGAGGATTCACCAGAGACAGAGTGGGGAGCAGAACAGGCAGATTGACAAAGTAGAGCAGCGGGAGCAGCGGGAGGGTCAGGAGAGGTCTGAGCCATGTGGGTCACCTCCGGGGCTGGGGATCGAACTCACACTGAAGAGGCTGTGGCTCACTTGCAATGCTGCACTTTTACCTGTTGTGCCACCAGGGAGAGCCCTATATCACATCTTCTTAATTCAGGGGCATTTGGATTGGTTCCAATTCTTACCTATTATAAAAGCTACTGCAATAAACATAGGGGTGCCTGTCTCCTTTTGAGCTAATATTTTTTCTTCTTTCTTTGGGTAGATCCCTAGGAGTGGAATTGTGAGGTCATATGGAAGCTCCATTTTTAGTAGTCTGAGGAAACTCCACACAGCTTTCCATAGTGGTTGGACCAGTTTGCATTCGCACCAGCAGTGGGAGAGTTCCTTTTTCTCCACATCCTCTCTCCTTGGGGAAAATTCTGACGGGGTTAGGTGCAGGTGTTATCTGGCATCTCCACAGTAGAGGGCACAGCATACTGTATTGTACCCACTTTCCTGGCCACATCCTGATGAGGACACTTGGCCTCAGCTCTGATGTCTATACGCACTCTCCTGGGTCAGAGTAGAAGCCCTGAGGTTCTACCTCACCTCTGCCCTGGTCTGGGGGCCACCCTGCCCTGGGCCTATTCACCACCCCTCATTAGTTCTTATGCCTCACACAGAGATCAGGACTTGTTTTCCTCCCCTCTTGGTCTTTTCCCCATGTCAACATGGGGATTTTTTTTTAATTATATGAAAATATAATAAAATATATTTTATTTATATTATTATTTTTTAAAAAACATTAGTTAACTGCTTAATTTTTATTGTATCCAGACCACACTGTACTTAATTATTTTCCTGTGGGTAGATATTAAGATCAGTTCTAAACCCAAATCATCTGAATTCTTTAGAACACAAGTTGCTAGCTACAGAAACCTATTCTCCTGACAGTCTCAGCAAGATAGATGATTTCTCTCACCTGATAGTTGGAACCTGGTAGGAGGCGCTGCTGAGGGACGCTGCCCATGCCCCCATGGCTTCCCACTACCTTGCTCAGCCATCTGCTGCTCTGCTTCTTTTGAAAAATTACTGAACAATTACAACACAACACACAGAAATATATCAATATTTGCATGGTGGGGGGTAGAGATAGAAGAGCCTTGGGGACCTCCCTGGTGGCACAAGGGGTTAAGATGCAATGTTATGAAGCTATCCGCAGCTGCTGGGGCACAAGTTCGATTCCTGGCCAAGGTGGTGACCCACATGGTGCTCTCACCTGCTACTCCCCTCTACAGTGTATTTCAGTGTGTCTGCCTGTTCTATTCCCCACTCTGTCTCTTCTTTTTTAAAGAAGAGTTTTGAACCTCCAAAGAGGGCCACCTAAGGCCTCAGAGACACCAGTTGGGAAGCTCTGCCTTAAGATATTTCTTTCCAACATATGGTCATAGATGACTCATCACCTTTATCTTCTGGGTTTACATTCTAGTTGGAAGAAATGGGGTAAAGGGGTAGCAAATGCTCACCCTTCCTCAAAGACCAGGAGGTGGCCTGAATTTCACTTATATTCCATTGGGCAAAACTTGTCACATGACTGCAATCAGCTGGAAAGGAGACTGGGATATAGAGTTTTCAGCTGGGCAGCCATGTGGGAAAATATAAAGATTGGGGGTTCTGTTATTTAAGGATGAAAGGAAATTGTATGGTGGGGACAAATCACTGCCCTCAAAACCCTTTATTATTATTATTATTATTATTTTAATAAGCAAAAGGAGCTTTGATTCCAGGATCTGTTAGGCAGCTCTTTCATGACCTACATGTTTATTACAGGACTGTGTAATCTTTGGCTTAACTATGGCATTAGCGAGTGGTATTGAGGTGGTTGTGATCATATGAGTTAGGAGCTACTATGAAGGCATTTGTCCAGTGAGCAGACCAAGGTAACTACCGATCTGCCAGAATCTGAACAAATGCCAGCACTTCCTGTCTCTGGAATCATAGCCATAATAGGCTCCTATTTATATAAGCCTTATTTGGTTGGGTTTTTTTGTGGTTTTTTTTTTTTTTTTTTTTGTACTTAGAGCTGAATTCAGTCCTAACTCATAATGACTACTCTAAGGATTTGTTGATCTTGGAAGTGAAGACTCCCAAGGCTGGAAAAAGATCACGGTTTCATTGAGTTCAAGGTCCCCAAGCTTTGTGTGAGCCTCTCTCTGGGAGCCCCACCAAGGAGCAACCAGTGAATCTTCACTTGCTTATCTCAGTGACAAGACCTCTGGCCTAAGGTAATCCAAGTTGAAGGTTCGGACTATTATGTACTTATGTTAAGCCCAAACTGAATTCCCTATAATTCACCTCTTTGTCTTAGTATGGAAATTTGAGAAAGAACAGGGAATGAGGGCCCTCCTTGGTGGCTCAATGGGTTAAATCTCAGCACTATGAAGCTATCTGTAGCCCCTGCAGCACGAGTTCGATCCCCCGCCAGGGAGCTGACCCACATGGAGCGGCAGACCTTTCCTGACCTGCCTGCTGCTCCCCTCAGCAGTGTACTTTGGTTAATCTGACTGTTCTGCTCTCCACTGTCTCTGGTGAATCCTCTTACCTTTGCATTTCCGACCTGTGCCCTAGTTCTCGTATGCATAGATAAATAAATCTTAAAAAGAAAAAAAGGAACAGGGAATGATAGAAACAATATGGGGTGAGGTCTCAGCTTTTTCTTATGATGTGAGGTAAACTGTTTCACCTCTCTGAATCTTTTATTTATAGAAAAATGTTATAACTTTTAAAAAGAAAACAAATATATGTAGTTGGTTGATAAAATAAATGTTCTCTTAGGATCATTTCCTACCACAGAGCAAGTCCACAGCAATTGTTAGTCATCTGTCCCCTTACACAGAGTTGTCAGCTAGCTGTCAGCTCTGACAGCTCAGAACAGTGTGTGTGCTTGTGTGTTGTGCGCTCGTACCTCTCCCTGTCTGAGATCTTCAGGGTGCAGCTCAGGGAGGTGTGATTATTTCCCAGAAATGGAGACATTTCCAGCCAGAGTGTCCTTGCTTTGCAATCTGTCTCTGGGCTGTCCAACAGCTCCGCACCCACCCTGGCAGTAATCATTATAAACCTGACCCACATGGTGTGGCAGACCTCTCCTGACCTGCCTGCTGCTCCCCTCAGTAGTGTACTTTGGTTAATCTGACTGTTCTGCTCTCCACTGTCTCTGGTGAATCCTCTCACCTTTGCATCTCTGACCTGTGCCCTAGTTCCCAAACTCCCAAACTCCCCCCTCTCCTCCCCTCTCTGACATCTGCCCTGATGGGACAAAGGCTTGAGGTGACAGACACACTGATTTAGCAAAAACACGCAGGACCCAACAACACGGGGAAGGTTTGCAGGATAGGCTTTAATCACCAAGAACCCAATCAGAAAACAGAGGCGCTGGTCAAGGAGGTGAGCCGTCAGGCGCAGTGGAGGAAGCGCTTCCTTCGACCTGCCGGGCTGGGTGCAGGGTGGTTTTACTCCCTGGAGCGGCGGCCGGCATCAAAGCAGGTGCCAAAGTTGGTGTTGGTGAGGGAGCCCACAATGGTCTTGTCCACCTCACAGGTCAGGCCCCGCTCACAGGGACACTTGTAGTACACCCCATAGAGTGTCTGCGGAGACATGGAACCAGAGGACTCATGGGCTGTGGGGCTCCTTGGGGGTCTCTGGCCACCTGCCTGCCCCTGAGAATCACCCGCCTCGCTTGTCTATCAATGGTGCTTCTCCCGACTGCCTCAGCAGGGGGCGCTGTGGGCCACGTCTGGTCTCCCGTCCTTTGCTCGCTCGCTGCTGCTAACCTGATCTCTCTGGGAAGCCTTTCTTTACCCGCCCGAGCAATAGGGATAACAACTCCCTGCCTCCACGCATCTCAGTGGCCAGTGGTGAGGGTCGAGAGGACAGGAGAGGCAGGTGACCCCACCTAGAAGCCTCAAGGGCGCGTTCCTCGTCCCCACAGCCACCCCCTCCTCCCCCGCACAACTCCTCCACACCCACCTTGGCAGAGCACTCGCTGTTCTCGCTGGCCTTGGGTGCACAGCGGGCCAGGCTCAATCCGGTGTCACGATGGCAGCAGCGGCTTTTGCACTGCATGCTGTTCAGGCAGAGCTCACCCTCCTCCTGCGGGAGCAGCCAGCTGTCAGCCCAGGGCGCTTCTGCCCGCAGACCTCACCCCACCCCCACCCATGCCCCGCCCGCTGCTGCTATCATTGCCCAGGCACCCCCACACGCCCCACCGCCCCCGGAGCGTTGTGAAGGCCTCCAACCCTGAGCAGAGAGGCCTCTCTGCCCATGCTGACCCTCCAACCACCAGAGTCCCCACCCACCAGAGAAGTGGGCAGTGTAGTTCCAGAAAAGCAGTCCTGGGATGGGTCGGGCGAAGGTGGGGGCGCCGGGTAACCTGGCTTTAGTATCCACTATGCATCACCTCCCGGGTGACTCCTGACAAGTCACTGCCCCTTCCTGTGCCTCAGTGTTCCCGTCTGACAGATGCACACGCGACCCCCAAACCTCTCTGCATCCCACACTCCTTTGGGGAACCTGCGAAAGTTGAGGACCCTCTGGAAAATGGTCCTCTCCTGAGACTTTTCCATCTACATCTATCTCTTGGGGTGATTGGAACTAAGTGGGCAAATATTCCCGGGTGTTTAGAAGTGTGTCTGGCACATAATACAGCTGCCAGTCTAGGTTGGAAACCAGAATCACTGGGAAGTTTTTACACGGCGGGACCATCTGCTCCAGGGTTTCCATTGCAGGAACCCAGGGTTCTGGCTTTTTATCAAGCTGCTCAACCCCTGTGTGTGCTCCATGTTCAGCAGCGGCTGCTGGAGTCCCTGGGGAAGGGGCCAGACAGGGCATGCACTGTAGAGGAAGAGCTGCCTCCCTGGCCATCTCCTGGGCAGCCCCATCTGACCACATCAGAAGTTAAGATTCAAGTTTTAAAGCCCCAACCCCCCTGCTCCCCCAGGGTCTAGTGACTCCTCCCCTGAAGAAATCCTTACCAGGTTGACAATGATGTTCCTGGGGTCGGGAACAGCATAGGCCACTGTGAGGACAGCGACAAGCAGAAGGACAAGGACCTTTTCCATGATGAGAAGTCACAGCTGGTGTAGGCAGCAGGTAGGTCAGGTAGGAGAAGGCAGAGCCAGCTGGGGGTGGTGGGGCTATAAAGGAGGCCCTGTCCACGTGTGACCCACCTTCCCTATCTTTAGGGCCTGCCGTGAGCAGGCACCAGCTGTGGCCAATCTCCTGGGGGCCGTGGGGGGGTGTCCTGATAAGGTGGCTGAGCAGCAGCTGGGCACCCGGGACCTTTTGTGCATGCATGTTTGTATGTGTGTGGGGCAATGTTGCATCATGGCTAAGAGTGGAGACTCTGGAGCAAGTTAATAGCTGGGCAGTTTCTCTGTTCTGAGCCTCCTTATCTGTCCCTTGAGGACAATTTCAAGAATATGGACAGTGAAGTGAATGAACATTAATGTGTTATGTATGTGTGATAGACATGCATGCACATACAGATACACACACATGTATCACAGCAGAGGCTTGTGCATATAAGCAGTACGTAAGCATTCATGACTGTTGTTATTTCTGTTGTTATTTCCTCCCAGTGACCTGAGCTTCTTGGCAGTGCTATGCCTAGGATGAGGAGAGAGGCACCCAGGAAGTGAGCCTGTGTTAGTCTTGGCTGAGAATGAGGAGTCTCTTGAGGCTCGAGTGACCTAGGGGCTGGAAGCTGGGAAAGACACAGCTGAGTGTGCTCAGGTGTGGGACCAGGGCAGGTTTCCTGAAGGACTGGTAGTTGTGGCCAGGAGCTCCAGCTGCCCCCCCTCCCCCGAGGTGGAAATCAGCTCCCCTTTAGAGGCCCCAGATTAGGTGACCTCCAGCTCGGCTTTGATCCAGTCAAACTTGGCTTCAAGACTCAGCACTAACTAGCTACCAGATCTGCAGCAAGTTATTTAAACTTTCTGAGCTACAAGCCTCAGTTTTCTCAGGTACCTCAGACTTAAATAAACAAGGTATGTGGGAGTGCCTGACACATTGTGGGTGCTCAGGGAGGGTCATACCACCCCCTTGCTCTCATCTGTACTCTACTGGGGAGGTGGCAGATAGGGAAGCAGTTGGAGGAGGCTCCAGAAGACCCTCAAAATAAGAGACACTCACATCCAGAGACACACAAAAAAGCATTGATACCTTCATTTGTTTTTATGGAATCTTATTTTTTTAAAAAGATTTATTTATTTCTGCATATAGTACTGGGGTTCAGGCCAGAGGTACCAGTGCGGTGAGAGGATTCACCAGAGACAGAGTGGGGAGCAGAACAGGCACTGCTGAGGGGAGCAGCCAGCGGTGGGGAGAGGTCTGCTGCGCCATGTGGATCACCTCCAGGCGGATGGAACTTGCACCTGCTGTGCTTTAACCTGCTGTGACACCAGGGAAGGTCCTGGAATCTTATTTTTATGGAATCTGGTGCTTAAAACCACTTTTCACCATTAGCTCATCCTGGCCCCTCCTTTTCTTCTCCTACTTCCAAAGCTCCTGGAAGCTGAACCAAAGGAAATGTGTGTGTATGTAAATTCCCTTCCTTTCTTACAGATGAAGATTAGGAGGACCAAAAGGAGCTGTTTCCATCTGTGAAGAACAATGTAACAGGAAGATCAGTGCTCCGCTCAGGCCAAATGTCAATAGAGACGGAATGAATCTTTAATTAAAGTGTGCTTTAATGAGGCAGCCAGTAATCTGGAAGATGGGGGTGAGGGAGGGCGGGGTTAACACCTTCACAAAACTACCTTAACATTTCATTTCTGGCAGGCTTTTTATAGTAAGTTGAACAATGACAGGTGTTCAGCAGTGAGCAGGCCTTCGCCTCTGCCCAGAGCCTGTGCGTTCAACCTCCCCTCCCACCCAGAGCTCCTTACTGCTCCTCTAGACACCTGGCCTCAAGCGTGTCCCACTGTGCTGGGTCTGGTCTTCCGATAGCCCTGGTTCCCCCCCCCCCCAGATGTGTCCAGTGGCTGGAAAATTAACTCAGAGTAGACAGGCCATAAGCAATGAGTGTGCAGATTTCTCACCATACCAGCGTTCTACCCAATCCCTTCCCCCCTCCCCCATACACACACAGCCTGCATCAGAATCATGAAGTGCTTTAGTCCTATAGCTAACTGGTTACTGGTCATAATCGGCTTCTAGAAAAGATTGCAGTTTTCCTTCCTTACAAATGAAGAGTGTAGCAAAGAGAATGTTGACCATTTATGTGCTCCCAAAATGTAAGCAAGAGTTACGTACTTTTTGTAACAAAATCCCCGAAGGTTTAATCATGCCTTTTCCAATCTAAAGACTGTTTTTGCTTTGGATTTTCCCCCTGAAAAATGAGCTGGTTTCCACATGTAATCTTATAGATTTATCTCGCGGGGATAATGTTGACTGATCAAAGCAATGAGTCGACTGTGTGATTCTATTTGCATGAAGCTCAAGAAGAGGCAAAACCTCCTCACCCATGGTGATAAAAGTGTGTAAGTTTTACCCCTGGGAAAGACATTGACTGGGACGGGGTAGGTGGAGACTTCTGGAGAGATGAAATTGTTCTAAATCTTCATCTGGGGTGTTGGTGACATCCATAAAAATTCCTCTAGTGGTATGCTTAATATTTTGGCACTTTCAATATATAATGTAGATATTATACCTCGATTAAAAAACAGAGGGCCCTCCCTGGTGGCACAGTGGGTTAAAGCACAGCACTAAGAAGCTAAAGCCACTTCTGCATGTGTTCGATCCCCTGCCCCAGAGGTGACCACATGGCGCGGCAGACCTCTCCTGACCAGCCCGCTGCTCCCCTCAGCAGTGTACTTTGGTTAATCTGACTGTTCTGCTGTCCACTGTCTCTGGTGAATCCTCTCACCTTTGCATCTCTGACCTGTGCCCCAGTTCTGTATGCATAAATAAATCAATCTTTAAAACAAACAAACAAACAGAAGGAGCAAGTTCTTCCTGGCTAAGTCTTACCACCTTGGACAGTGGGGTTTAGGGTGCTGCCAGACCTCATGCTGTGTGTGGGGGGGCACTGTAACTTACATTCGAGATGTGTGTGTGTGTCAGTCTCTATTCTCCAACACCTACCCCAAAAGCTTCCCCCACAGACATGGGCAGGACCCTGTCTGCTGTGACAGTAATGGGAGCCCCTCTTCACTCCTGTTAATTGGAAACAAGGTCTTAATGAGAGGCAAAGAGTTTATTAGATAATCAAAGTAAGGATTTAAACCCAGGAAGCAGTCCAACAGATTTTACCCAGTGAGAATTGTTCCAACAAAACAGTTTGAATTTAGTTCATATAGGTAAGAAGAACAGTGAGTCATTGACATTAAACTGTAATTATCCTGTTTCCAAGTTGTTTAGATCTAAAGATCTCTTGCTGCTATTCATGCTCTGAGGAAGGCAGTGCTGGGATTTAATCTGTTCCTTGCTAAAGAATGCACTGTGGTGATGCAAAGGCTGGGTACGCATTGTTAAATCTTCTTTATGCGACTCCTTGGGCTTTATTTGAAAGGCTAACTTTACATTCTGGCAGGAGATTTTGTAAAGGTGTTTCACAGACTTGGAGTCTCTACAGATGATGTTGCTCTCTTATCTGCTAAAGCAGGACGGGCTCATTCCCAGAAATTTTACATGGTGTTCACAGTCCCAATGCCCTACCCATAATCTCCACTGGGCAGAGGCTTGAGGTGGAGAGCCCCAACTGGCCTCACAAGATGGGATGTTTCTTATTTATTTATTTTTGTTGTATTCATTTTTATTTTATTTATCATTTCAATTTTTACATATATTCAAAGATTTATTTTTATTTATGCATACAAGAACTAGGGTATAGGCCAGAGGTGCAGAGAGTGAGAGGATTCACCAGAGACAGAGTGGGGAGGCAGATTTATTGAAATGCACTGCTGAGGGGAGCAGCTGGTGAAGCAGGAGAGGTCAGCTCCCCCGGCCTCAATCAAACTCAAGCCACAGCAGTGATAGTGCTAAGACTCCACCCCTAGGCAACCAGGGAGGCCCCAAGTTCCTTATGCTCTTCATCAGCCTCCTGCCATTTAAGGTTATTTAGGTTACACAGACCTTCTGTGCCTGCGATGCTTGGACCCTTGAGTCTGTGAGGGGTTGCTGAAGTCTTCCATTCATTTTTTCTTCCTTCTATTCATTTTAACTGTGGACATGGCAGTAACAGAGGCAGCTTGGGTAGTTCCTGAGTTCCACACATACTCCTTCTACCCCTTCAGTGATAAGCTCTTCTCTCTTCCCCGCACAGTCAGGATTAGGCACCTTAACTAATTAGTAATCCCCCTTTTTAAAAAGTAAACTAAAACAGACTCAGTAAAATCCACCTTTGTAGTATAGAGTTCTATGAAGTTTGACAAAAATATACCTCGGGAACACACCACAGCCACAGCTCCTTTGCCCTGAAAAAAAAAATAATAATAATGTACACAACGCCTTCACCCTGAAAATACTTACACCCTAAACACTGGAAATTTTCTGAAAAGCTTTGGGTAATTATGAAGCAAACTACTACATACATTTACCTACCAGCTTTTGTCTGAACACAAATTTTCATTTCTGTGGGACAAATACCCAGCAGTGAAATGGTTGAGTCTCAGAGCAAATGTTTACTTCAATTTCTAAGAGATGTCAAATTGTTTTCCAAAGTGACTGAGCCAATTTGCATGTGTAAATGTTGCAATTGTTCAACATCCTCATCAGTACTTGGTACTTTTTTTTTTTGTTTAAACTTCCTAATTGGTGAGGAGCATAT